ATATTTCTTTGCAATTGGTTGAAATCTTTGAATATGAGCAATTGGGTTGGGATTAGCAAAGAATTATCAGCTATTGTTTGGGTCATCTAATCGCTGTTTATGAGGAAAAATTAAATTTTTCGGGTTTATAAATTTTTAAGATGTGTTTCTGATATATTTTTATATTTGTCTCGCTCGGTTTCAGGCGGTTTTTACTGCAATAGGCAATTGGTCTTATGGAATATGGTAAATTTTTTAATATGATATTTTGAATCTTTATATTTATGAACCTTGGCTATAGTTTTGGTCTTGATTTACTTATTTATTATCACTGCGTTTTGAGCTGTAAGCGCTTCCTTGGTTGCCTCAATTAACTTTCGCTATTTTATCAGCTGTGATGTACAGTGTATTCGTCTCTTGGTCTTTATGACTCATTCTTGAACTGTGATTTTTCGTCTTTTGGAGATCGAATTGGAGTTTCTCTTTTGTGCCTTAGAAGTAGCTACGCACTTCTTGCCGAACATGAAAAATAAACATTTTTGTTTGAGCAGTTTTACTCTCATTTTTTCTCTTTTGTATTTTGATGCTTACTGGCTGCATGAACAATGGTTTTAAAAAATTTATTTATTTTGCAAAGTTAATTAAGAAGTGTATTCTTCTGCGTTTCAGAGAGGAGGGCAATGGGACATTTATATTGCCATTATGTTCTTATGGTTAGAAAAGATCAGGTTCTCGTCTTACTGAAACTTTACGTCCAAGAATTGGACTCGGCTGGTGGACAAGAGATTTTTTGTGCTTGAGGCCGACGTTTACCTAAATAATTCTTACTACTTACTGGTAGAGCTTTGTAATAGGAAGGCAGTTGTTCAATGACAGAGGGCTAAAAAGTGAAGGTCTCCAGTGTTATGATAATCCTGTAAGTAAAGCAGTCCATAGAAATCAGCAGGTTTATACCGTAATTGTGCCTTGCCCTTCGTCTTCGTCGTCCGATTCAATTTTTATTCTGTTTGGAATATTACTCTTCTCTGGCGAAACTACTGCCAATCTTTGAGTTTGTCTGTCACGTTTCACTTTGACCGATGTTGTTATACTGTCGTTTTGTCGATCAGCTATTGGGATAAATTGATAACCTCGCTCAGGATTCAAGCCGGCAGCCTTTAATAGATGATCAGAAATCATGCTCAGTGCTGAGGTTGACAGAATAATGTATTTACCACGTTTACTGTCATCAGTATTTAATTTACTCATGATTTTTAAAAGTGTAGGGAAGTTTTCAAAACCAGTAACAGATTCGTTGTTGGTTAAGAGCTAAACTAGTGGAAAAATTTAGAAAAGGTCTTTTAAATTGGTGACTTTTGCCGATAAATTATTTAACCTTTTTTTCTGACAAACGAACTTTAAGATGAATATTCTTTTCTGCTGCATTGGGGTGGCTAGTTTCAGTTTATTATTTATGCGACTGGTTAGCTTACTCGCATTTCATCAAGTTCTTTCGCTGAACAGGTTGGTGTGTCGACGTCATAAACATTATGGAATTTGCCAAAATCGATACGGTATTCGCCATTATCGCGTTGATAGGTTACAAGTTTTTCAAAACTGAAAAGCAGTCATGATCTATTTGCAGGTATTGCCAATATTTTGACGTTTCATAAGTTTAAATCATGAAATTCCTCATATCCATTGCTATCTGACCAGTTATCGTGCAGAATCCAATCGGTTACTAAGTATCAGTGAAATGTTTTTTACCTTTTATTGAGCGTTATTTAAAGGGGACAAAAAGATCTTACGAAAAATAAAGCTACATTTAATTTTTTCCAATTCTGATTGCATACTGCGTTTGTATCCGGCTTTGTTGACGGCATTATCACATCACAATCTGCTTAATAGTCTATGCTTTTTCTCTTATGGTACTTCCTCGTCATGATACGTTTATTTTAATGTGCAGGCAAAGAAATGTTTTTCTGGTTGGAAATAGACTGTATTACACTAAGCTGATAAAATAAACGAATTAAACAATTATGCTTCTTTTTTCTTCTTTAGTTATTTCTTTTTAATTCATTTAAAATTTTAAAAACTGTAACAGGGGATGCGGAAAGAAATTTGCTGTGTAAAATGAATTTAAAAAAAGGACAGAAGAAAGTAGTGTCAAAAAAAAAATGATGCATTAGTAGATTACCGTTTACCCCATAAAATTTCGCTGGGTAAATAGCTGGTACGAGCTTGGGTGGTAGATCCGACAGTTTCGACGACACCTTCAAGAATTGCAATAATCTCAAATTTTGCAGTTTCTAACGTTTCCTTACTAATTTCGTACAGTGGACTATCTTCATCGATCTCATGACATATTGTAATTGGCCATATAACAAAAACTCGATCAAGTCCATCGTCATACCCAACATCCATATCGAACTGATGGAACGGTATCAGTTCGCCTTCATATGTCAAACATTTTTTGATCATCTGTTAAAAGAAAGAAAAGATTTTTCTATTGCTACCACAGGGGACAATTCAAAGTTGCCGCATATTAAGAACTCCTGGCGCATTGGCAGTACAGGTTTCAAACTATACTTTTTTTTGTTCTAATTGCGCAACAACGTTGGAAAGGTGTTAAATGAATTCACAGTTTACCTGTAAGCGCACATGTGCCTCAGCCAATGAACTCTTCCGCATATCACCGACCCGAAACAGTAAACACAGTTTGCCGTCTCTCATACAAATTACAGCATTTTTACTAAATACTAGTTAGTTGTAAAAGCGAATGGAATTTAAAGAGATGGAATTGTTTTGTCATTGTTGGTGAAATGACAAAGTTTTTAATCTTAAGAAGGAATTAGCTAGAAAAAGTGGATGTGATACAAAAATTAGAGATACTGGCAAAAGATGTGAATAAATCAGCTACCTAAATAGGATTGTTGCAGCACGTTTAATTGGACGAGCAAGTTTTGCAAATATAACACCAGCCATCAACGTCTGACAAATTACTCCGACCATGAATTGAATACACATGATCACCACCAACATAGGACATTCAGTTGTCGGGTATCTAAATAAAGCAAAGAAATTTGTTCAGTTTGAGCACTGCAGTCAAGTATACAAAAATATTCCGCAGTTTCGCTTGTAGCATACGTTATATTCAAGAAAGTTATTAAAAAAGTGCATAAACGATAACAACAATGAACGTGCTGAAAGACCACTGTTTTACTTTTCTATGCGAAATACTAAACGATGAGAACAAATGCTTCAGTTGGGCAACAGTGCTTTAGTAAGTTGAGTAGAGGAATTTAAAAGTAAAAACTATAATGGACAGTTCCTAACCTGTAACCGTAACCAACAGTTGTCTGTGTAGTAAATGAAAACAGAAATACGTTGCCTTTTGTATATCCATTTGCAACACACGGCTTCCAACTGGCGTTGTTCGCTTGCTCGAAATCACCATGCGTAGCAATGATAACGTAGTAGATACAGTAGAAAAATGTCCAGGACAACAGAAATGAAAGGGTAAAAAAAAACATTGACCATCGCCATTTCAATTCAATGACTGTTGTAAAAATATCTCTAAAAAAATTACAATGGTCCAACTGGTTTCAGAAAAA